TTGGCCATTAACTACGACCTAGCTGATATGACGCTCTCGGAGGACTCGTCGGATGTCACTTTCCTCTACAAAAATACCCGCAACATTCGCAATAATAGACTCTCTGTGCCGCACGATTGTGGCGATCCTGAACGGGAGCCCTGGTATGACGTTAATGCCTATATTATGTTCCCGACGGATCGGTGGAAGGACCTAACTCCCAAATTTATTCTCATGGCCTGGCGTGACTGGAAACTCACTAAAGACCAAGACTACTTACTGTATATGGTGCCCATCATTGTGGTGAGTGGTTGACCCTCCTTCACTATTTGTAGAGCGTTTAGTTTATTTTATTCTTTCTATTGACTACATATCAGTAGGTAAAGTATTTGTGCAATATTTTGTTTACCCTTCTACTTCATCCCTTATTTTCAGGCCGTCGTCCGCTCCGTTCTAGAGAAGTGGGACAGAGATAATGACGGAATAATTGAATGCGAAGGCTTTCCTGACCAGACTTATGACACCTGGAAGACAAATGGCCTGGGGTAAGATTGCAACTCTTTACTGTTATGCCCATCTAAGGTATGTGTTAAAGACAGTGACAAATGAGTGAGAGAGAGCGAGAGAGCGAAAGGAAACATGCTTCTGTTCTATTATGATTAAATCTTCCAAATAGCCTATTATTATAGAACTAATTTTAAATAGTTTAACTCAAGTTAGCCACATTCTTCGAGGGTTCCACAATCTTAACAAATGGAAAACTGCACGAGGAGGAAACTACCAAGTTTAAACACACAAGAACTCTGTAGGGGCAGTCAGAGCGACCTTTTTATCGTTGGGCTGTAGTTTAGTCAACTTGGTTTTCTCATTCTGAAAATCTCGATCAACTATCAGTCTGGCTGCTGATAGATGTCTTCGAGCGGGTGTATTTATGAGAAATCAGCAAAAATTATGCATAGGATATGTTTTACTAAGGGGATGCAGTTAGTCATACTGGAAGCCTTGTCAGTTAGCTAAGATAACAACAAATAATAATAAACAAATTCTATCTGCAAAATGTCAGTCTGTGTAGCAAATAATTAAAATGCCCTTTAATGTGGAAATGCGTACATTGGTGTACATTTATACCTCAAACGGTTTCCCTATAACCACTTTGTGTTTTATTAGACAACATCTTGGCCTCCTGGCCCCGGAAGAAAGTGGCTTTATCAAGAAATAGCAGCAGCAAGTCTAGTAGATCTGACAACTAATTCAACAAATGAGGCTGAATGTA